AAGTTTGCAATGACGAGGCCCTCTGGGCCTAAAATATGAAAAATTATTTATTTTATGACACATTCACAGTCCAGTTCTTGTACACAATCTTTAACGAATAAGAGAAGTGTGGTCAGTCTGAGCCTGAAACCTATGAGCATCCAGTCCATAGGTCTGTTCGACTTGGTCGTTGTCGCCCTTGCGAAGGCCAAATGAGGAAGTTATCGACCCCTCTAATAAGTTTGGGTTTGATACCTATCAAACTGCACAGTAAACGCTGGTGTGGAGAACGAACATTAATCGCCGATCCTGTATGTGCATACTCTCCGACTTAATTGACTTTAATATGATCTTGTGGGAAGCGATCTTTTAATAATGTTCTCTTTTCATTTTCTCTCCGCATTTTTTACGTCGTCTCAGTGGATTTCCTGTCGGTGGCAGATAATTTTTGTTCTGCCAATAAAATTGCATATAAAGCTTCATTATTGAGTTATCATAAACACTCTATTTTATATCGGACGCGAATCATGAGGAACTATATCGACTCGTTGATAAAGTGCTTACATTAACTTCTGGAAGATCCAAAACCCATTACCAATGACATCGGACGCAAAAACCCTCCTGGCGACTACCAGACTCTCAGAAATGCATGGTACAAAATGCCAATTTTCATAATTTAAACAAGGTAATTTTCTTACTAACGAAGACAAAGTTTGTGAATTATAAGTTGCACAGATGAAGTAACCAGTAGGTGCTTCGAGTGCTTGTTTTAATGGATAGTTTTCGCCCTCCCTGAAAGACAAATTCAAATTTGGCGTCTCGGCGTGTCTAGTCATGTTGCCGGGCTTCTCTGCCGGACCAGTAAACAACCTGTTCTCTTCTGAAAGTAGTTCTGTGTTTGCATCATCTATGACGGACTCTGGCACACATCCTAATGCGGACATAGGAACGGCTTTGAAATCTTTGTGCCTCCCGCCGAGTTGGCTTAATTCTACGGGGGGCGTTGAAGATCGCTCAAGAACTAATCTTATAATTAATTATCTCCCACAAAGCTATGACCAGAGTGACCTACAGCGTCTTTTTGAGCGATTGGGACCTATTCGCCAGTGCAAGCTTATTCGTGACAAGGTAAGTAACAGTTTCTCCTCACTCTCCCAGAACACTGGTGCCAGTTTGTGTTATGGATTTGTCGATTATATATCACCCCAGCACGCAGCTCTTGCTATACAGACTTACCACGGTTATGAGACCGAAAGCAAGCGATTACGGGTTGCCTATGCCAGCTCTGGCGGTCGGCGATATCTTTCGGGTCAACGGACTCCCTCTGGTGATATAGGAAGTGTCAGTTGTGGCAATGAACCTTCTGAAAACGTACTCGGGTGGGAGATTTGCGTTGCAGGATTACCTTCGGAGGTGTCCGAATCTGATATAATGGTAAGTTAGTTCATTACCATTTTATTGTCTTAGCGTTTGTTCTCGCATTTTGGTCGTATTCTTTGGGTTCGGTTCCTACCATCGGACGCCATGAAGACCGCCACTAGCGCTCTTGCTGACCTTAACTGCAACACTACGGAGGCAAATTTATTTGGCACTCGAAGCCAGCTTTCTTCAAAAGGTCCCATGACTTCCATCATTTTCGAAGAGCGCTCAAGGTTTGTCGCTTTTCGCTACTTACAGTTGTTTTTAGTTGTGATACAGCGATTGGTCGTCTAAACGGACTCCAACTGCCTGATTGCCCAACTCCTCTCTGTTTACGCCTCATCGGTCCGGTTACCAGAGAGACGTTCGATATGTTTTATCTTAACTCGCGTGTTGGCAGTGATTGTAGCAGTCTCGCTGGCTTGCAACCTCGCCAGATATCTGTTGCACAGTGCCATTTACAAGATAAGCTCGGTCTTCCGGGCTCAGCTTGTACAGTCTCAAACGGCCTTCTAAAAATGAGTCATTCACGTTCTGCCCTTGAGGCTATTGAGCCAAACGAAAATGCCCTACCCTCGCTTACTTCTTTGCAGCCGCGACCGATTATACGCAACAAAAGTAAGTACTGCTCCTTTCGTTTTTTGTTGAAGTGGTTGCAACCAATGTGCCATTTGAGACTCCCGGTCATTGATCTATAACATGTTGCCATTTTGATACGGTTCACCGCGATAAGTGTTAGTGTCCGAAGCTCGGCAACTGAGTGTTAGATTTTTGCGCTAACGTTTGAGTCTAGTTCAGTTTCTTGTCATCCAGTTGTTGGCCATCCATCTTCGGCCGGCTGCCATGAGATTATATGCATACTCGATTCGTCTAGCTCTGTGCGTCTGCCTCTTCGCCCACATGTTTATCCTAGATTCCATTAAACTACTTCCAATTGGTCACTTTTTACAGTGTCATTTGGCTTCCAAGTCTAATATTCTCATCTTTTTTTAAGCATACACTGGATCTAATCTACTTGACAACGTCGACTTTACAGACCTTCTTGACGGAGGCGCCGTAGCCAATGGCATTTCCCGTTCAGTTGTCGATCGAATTTCTTCACCGGACACGCAGTCCCTCTTCACAAAGCAAGTTCATCAGGCTATGGACTTAGTTGGAAAGCCGGAACTTGGATCGCAAATGCCGTGGAATTCTGGCGCATCATTAATGCACCTTACCTCTGTCGATCAGTTTCGCAGTACACTTCGAGCACAGGACCTAACAGTCCCTAAAAAACTGTCAATATCAACTCCGCTACTTCTCAGCACTCAGCTTTCAGCCGCAGTGTCTGTTAAAGGGGGAAGAGCAAACGTTTACTTGAAGTTGGAGAACCTTCAACCAACTGGATCAGTCCTGTTCCGTGGAATAGAATATGCTTGCCGCAAGGTATGCTTAAGTCAATCTTTGTCTCACACATGGTCGTTTGTTTTGCCCTATATAACTCTTTTTGTTTTTGTTTTTTTTAGTTTGCGTCTCTCGGTGGCGCCCAACACATCGTCTGTCCCAGCACGGGAAATGCCGGAGTTGCTGCCGCGTTTGCTGCTCAGTCCTTAGGCATGGCATGTACGGTTGTTACACCAGAGGGCAATGAATCGCTTACAAGAAAACGCTTGTCCATCGAGGCGCCCTCAGCAAAGTTGGTTTCATTTGGATCTTCTCTCTCGGAAGCCTCTCGTCGCGCCGAGCAAATGGTCAACGATGCCAACGAACAGTTACAACAGATTAACGGGACTACCGACTCGGTGGTCCGATTTCTCCATCCATATGACCAAGCAGATGTCTGGACCGGATACGAGTCTATTATCGAAGAGTTGCCCGCAGGCCAGCAACCTGACCTTATTGTTGTAGCCGTCGGCGGTGGTGGCCTTCTGTCTGGCTTAATCCAAGGTCTTTGGAATCGCAGTTGGTCCACTACTCACATTCTGGCCGTTGAAACTGAGGGAGCTGATTGTCTTTCTCGCTCCGTGGCCGCTGGTCATCCCGTCGTTATGCCCAAATGCACCAGTGTTGCAACTTCTCTGTGTGCGCCTTCTCTGTCTCTGCGTGCATGGAGCATGATCCAATGTCACCCAGTAACTGCCATCACCTGTTCTGATCTGGAAGCAGTTCAAGCCGCTCGTCGCTTTCTCGGTGAGTCTTATTACGTTCTTTAAACTGGATTCCACGACAACAGTTATTTGTATGCCGCTAGTAGGCCAAAATAGCATTAGCTAACTATCAACTTCCAGTCTGGCCTTACTCGTGTTTTTTGGCTACTCTGGAGTTAGGTAGTCTACTAATTTATCCTTTTACTTTGGTCATGAAATTCAGGATGTGTGATTCGTACAACTGTTTTTATTTGTAACCGGCGCTGTGCGGTCGTCTATTTTTTTTCAGATTTTATACGGTCTTTAGATAATAACGTTTGGTGCAGGTAGGCGGAGCATATGCAGGTAATACAAATATACGGCCTGAACAACCAACTTGTTTATTTATATTATGATGCATGGAAGTAGCTCGTGTGCTATTGTGGTCAATGTCAGTAGTATAAATGGTTTTTATGGATCACATTTCACACTCGACGTTACAGTAAATGTGTTGTACCACATTTCAGATGATCACGGGATGCTTATTGAGCCCGCGTGTGGAGCGGCTCTATCAGCCGTTTATTCCGGTGCCATCGCCAAACTGCAACAGGAGAACGTAATTCCTCGTCCAGCAAACGTCTGCGTGATTTTATGCGGAGGTCGAAACACTAACCTTCAAATCCTTACGGACTGTGAAAGAAAGTTGACAACCAGTTGTGGTGGTGGTGGGACTGGAATCAGTAACAATAGCAACAAAGGCTTTGGTCTAAAACAACTGAATGGCTTTGGTGGACCGGAGGCTTTCTTGGCCGATCTAACTGAGGCGCCGATGACAGCACGCAGCATCGATGAGAATATGGACCAATTTTCGGACATACCGACTTCCAGCAGTTCAAGTAGTTCTGCCACAGATTCTGCCGTCCGCGCCCCGACAAAAACGCACGTGGACATGGACGATCAGTCGCGTGAATAGATTGACTAGTTTGTTTTTCCCTTTGTCTAAGTAACTTCTCATTTTCCTGTTTTTTTTCTGATCAATTCCACGGGACCCAGCTTATTTCCCTCTCTCTTTAACAAAACAGTTACATTTAGTGCTATTATTAGTCTGTCTTACGCCGTGGCTCGGAACCCCAGAATTTGTTTCTGTCCCGGGAGTACTTACCTTCATCCTCGTCCACTTCCAGCATTTACGCACTTGTTCATTCCACAGGCTTGACAATTTTCTCTTATGTTTTTGTCTACCACACTGTTTGCATTTACGCTTGATTTGGCCTCTTACTTTTCCTTTGGTCCTCTGGATAGAGGGCCTTCTAGCAGTCGCATTTCCGCCATTCTCTGCATTTGCTGACTTATATTTAGACTACACTTCTACTCAGCACCATAAAGCCTGCTGCTGCATTGATTTCTGTGCGTGGATCTATTGCCGCCCGTTAGTTTCTACCAGCTTCATTCACCCTTGTGATTTATTTTGTAATTTGTAGTTTATTACCTTTCTAAATGATGGCTTTTCTATAAGCGATTGCTTCAATTGCTCAGAGTTATTTGTTGCATTTTCATCTTTTCCCTCGTCTTCTACGTTTTAAACCCCACTGCCTGTTAGCGCATGTGCGTGTGGAAGTTTCGGCTTCTTATAAATTATATCCATGTTTTTTTTGCGAAACGTATGCTCCCGTTCCCGCACATATGCAGCTCAGTTGTGTACCGTTTGTCGAGTGTCTTACTGGAAGAAGAGGAGGTACTCTATCTACTACTACTGTACGCGTCCGTTTTCTTTTCGGTTGAATTTGATACTTTTGTACCTCGCATTTGCCTATTTTTTATCTGTGGAGAAAATGTGTACTTTTTATTATCGCGCTCTCTTCGGCTTTCTTCTTCAAAACTGTTATATGGTGGTCGGTAAATTCCGCGAGGCACAGGTTGTGGTCTGTACCACCAATTCATTCGTGCTTGTACGTGTTGCGCGGTTCAGACCATGGCTGCACAAATGGATCGCCTTATTTTGCCGTTTACTTCCTGTCAAATACACTTGTTTAAACTGAATTCTGCCTTGACCTCACTGCTTCGGGTTTCGCCTTATAGCTAACTGCGTGATGGGAAGCGGGCTTGGAACCTGTTTACCTTAATTTGGACCGCGCGGAGTCGGACTGTGATGGCTCCTTCGTTTTGGCACTGCCTCCCGTGGGATCCGCGTGGGGTAAGGAGGGAGTGCAATAAATGCAACTTTAAACTAGTGTATACGGAAGGATCCGTCCCTGGGGCCTTGTCGAACCGTAAGGTGACTTGGTACGTCCATATGACTTCCCTTGCTGGAATGACCGGTAGTTTATGGAGACACCTAGGTCACCGTTGTCCGTATCCCATCCTTCAATTAGAGTAAGTCGGTTGCGATACTCAAGAGCTGGTTTTTGGTAGTTTTCGTCAGATGGCAAAATTCCCGATCTAGAATGCCAAGTCCTATGCTGCGTGATGGTTAAAAAGCAGAAGTTACTTAACCAATTTCCATTGGTCTGGTCAATGACACCTCGTGATTGGGGTCGTGCCTCTGCATAAAATGGGTGTCCGTACAATTACGTAATTCAGAAGCATAGGTGATCAGATCTGGAAGGCGAGTCAATTTGATATCCAATGGCTACCCGGGATCCGCATATAGCTTGCGTTGACAATTTAAACTTCCACGGCCGCCGTAAACATGAAGCGGAAGCGTGTCTCTACCAGGCGCATACTCCAACCCTTGTATCAATTACGTTCAACACGACCAAATCTAGAGGCCGAGCTAAGTTCTTTGAAGAAGTAATTCGAGATCTGCTGTAGTTTGGAGTTCTAGTTTCGGTATCCCTTGGTTGTGCTTCAGGAGGGGTTGCCGGCCGTGTTGCTGAAGAACTTCGCTGTAACTCCAGTCATATCTACTTAATTTCTGCAGTCACATTTTATTTCGAATGGGACGGCATCACGCGCCTCTTGTTATATTTATTATCCTTGTCATGCCTACTGTATATTCCTCTGATAAATTATTGCGTTAACTATCTAGGGAGGAAGGCTGTTCTATCGTCTAAACCATCCTTATCTCGGGTCCTGAGAGGGAAGGCGTCCCACACTATAGCCCAAACATTAGCCGCCGCTTAAAAATAGGCTTTTTATCTTTGTCTGCCGAAATGTCCATGCTGACATTCGATGGCAGTCAGATAGTGATCAATTTTAGGAAATGTTAACCGAACTGAGGAAATGTTTTTCTTTTGGATTTGGAAGGGTTCCTTGATTTACGTCGGTTTTTGGGAGTTTGTTTCGACCGCCAGCAAAAATCGTACTTCTCAGAATACAAATAATCTCTTAAGTAGTATGCATTATACGGTGATCATCGGTTGTAAATACAAATATATTATATAGAAACTACGTACAAAGTGTCTACATTTTGTAGCTGGTTATGCCTTCTTCAAAAACGTTATTAAGAGTTTGTAATCAGGAGAGTTTTTACGACTAGAAGATGCCCATTCAAGTAGCATCCTGTCAGTTTGTTTGTTAATGCT